ATGAAAAGAATAAGATCCTAATTCAGAGAAACAAGAGATCGATGCTTACCTTGATTGAAAGGAGTAGAGAGGATCGAAGATGAAGAAGGAAACTTCCGGAGAAGCAGAAACCAAGCCAAATCAACAAGGAAGATGGCCTGGCGCTTCCGGTTGTCCTCAAAGGGCGAGAAACTCGGATAAAAATGGAGAGCTGAGAGAGGGCAGAGAGAAGGGTATATATATAGGTGGGGATTTTTTTGAAATTCAAATGAAATGTCGAGTGAATTTCATGTGCATTTCAAGCGCATGGAATTTAGGACAAATTTGGTATGCATTAGACGAAATGCACATGAAATTAATAAATTGGTTTGAGTAGTGTTCGTGTGTTGTGCGAGATAGAGGAATCATTTCGACCACGAGAAAAGATAGGGTGACCTGGCTGACAGCTTTTACTACCATGTTCATGTTCTCCTGCATTGGGATTTTGATTTAATCTCAGCCGTCGGATCTTCCTTTCTCACTAGATCGGCTTGCTAGATTCAGACATTTCATTGTCGGCTTGGCTAAACCGATAAAAAAAAGGTCGCAGCTCGGCTTGGACTGGCTTTTGCGGCTTTGCCTCAGTTTTTTCAATTTTCAATTTTCAATTTCAGCCGGAACGTCAATGCAGACAAAATCCGTCATGTTTGGTTTATTTACTGCTTGCTGGCTACACGAACAAAGTATACGGTATCTTCAGCCAGTGGTAATTTACTATAATTTAATTTTTTTTTATACTTTCTTACTTAAATTATTTTTAAAAAAAAAATAGTAGTAGAAAATCATTAATATTATTTTTTAAGTCACATTTTTTCAATATTTTTTTAAAGATGACTCTAACTGATTTTTTTTGTTTTTCGGGTTGAATTTTCTTTTTCTAAAAGAAAATAAGTTCATGTATTCAAACTATAAAGATTGAATATATTTGATTTCTTTTTTTATTAAATTTTATAATTAAAAAAAATTATGTATTCAAACTTTAAAATAAAAAAAAATATTAAAAAACTACTTGGTTAGTGTAACGGTCCGTGTATTAGAAATGAGATAAATATGAATTGAATACGGATGCGAAATAAATAGTTAAGGTTTACATTTCTTACACAATAATTCAGATTACCCAATAAAGTTACAGGAATAATCATTTTAAAAGAAATAATGAAAAATTTAAAAAATAAAATGAAAAATAAACGACTAAATATTATACTCGCAACCCTCTTGTGGATCGGGCTATAAATCTTGATTCTTTTAATCTGAAATTGTTAATAAAAGAATTAGCTATATTACTCCAGTAAGAATATCACGCTACTTACCGACACGGAAAATAAGGTTGGTAAATATTAAAAAATAATTAATAGAGCTCTTAATTCAAGTAAATTGGTTTATCATGAATAAAAACTATTTACCGCATGCTTACCATAGTGAGATTTCTAAACCCAACGTATAGAGTCAATAACATAAAAATTAACATAATCTCATATGCAATATGTTGGCAACAACAACTTTTCTCTTTTATCAGCCTACTGATATTTATGGAGGTCCATAGGGATATCTTCACTACATGTGAACCTTTTATTCAACATTTTCAAATAACGAGT